TGAATTTGATGAGAAAATTTGGTGGTTTTCCAAACGGTAGAACACTTTTTATTAAAACTATGCAACAACTTGCCTGGTCGACTCAACCATGTACTACCTTTTTCCGATAACCGACAACGCGTTTTAAAAAACTTTTCACGAACTTTTACTACTTTACTTGACGATGTAATAACTTAATTTTTTTATTAAGATAGATCATAACTGTTTAATTGTTTATATACGTACGGAAATTAATTGTATATAAACCAAAGACTGAGCGTAGATTATATATACATAGCTATAGCCTCCCATTTACTTTCAATAAGGGGCATAATATGCCAACATACCTAAAACAGACAGAGACATCTTTTGCACCGTAAGTAGAACGCAATAGCATTTTAACAAACGCGACTACCAAGAATTAAAAATGTGTCTAGTGTGACTATGGAACGAATGATAAATATATTTAAACCTCTCGCCAGGAAAAATTGCTGGTCACAGAACACCTGATCCCGGTCTACAATCTATGTTTTTCTTGAGATGGGAGCGATTTCCGGGATAGTATCATGTCAATGTTGAACGAAAAGACGATTCTATTCCGGAAATCGCTCGCATCTTAAGAAAAACATAGATTGTAGATCGAAATAAGGTGTGCTGTGTCTTTCCTGGTGAGAGTAATATAAACCATATACAAGATCATCAAGGATTGAAAGTGGGTCTCGTGCGATTTCCTCACCAAACATAAATCCAGTCTTAAAGCGCATCTTAACATTTGTTAAGACATAGACCTGCCCAGGATTTAAAATGTGACCGATGTGATTTTGTCACCAAGATGATCGGTATTCTCCTGTTCTATCTCTCTCGCAGACGTTGGCACAGATTTAGTAGCTGTAGGGTATATGGATAGAATCTATGATCTAAGGTATTTGGCTAATGCTTTTGCTCATTTGGGGTGTAAGGTTTCCAGTCTCCAACTTGGTAGAAGTGACGGTATGCCGCCTTACATTCTACCGCAAATCTTTTCAATCTCCTACCGAGATTGGACACACAGGCTGACTGCCCGAAAAAAATTTAGCGTAAAGAAATGTTCACACTCTCAAACCGTCGCAAAAAAGCCCCGTCTTCTTGTTGTCCCCAGTACATAAGGGAACAACATTTTCACCACAAAACAAAACTCCTTCTTTATGAATTTTCATAGAAATCACCAATAACAATTATATTAGATAAACGCCAGCTACGACGGAACGAATGTCCCCACTGTTCCACATGAAACGCACACTTCTTTTATCAGCGAAAGAATACGCGCGTTACTTAAATTCCGCCTTAAAATAAAACTCTTCACAAGGACCACATAAAACCTTTTATAAAACACGCAAATTTGCCCACATGTGTCTTCTAACACCTAACACCGTATCTAAGATAAAATTTAAACAAGAATTACGCATTTGCAAACCTTTCTAAAAGAAAAAACAAACACTGAGATACAAATTCAAGTAAAATAAACCAACTGTTTGTGTTTATTTGTAAATAACCCTCCAAATTTGCACTTAAACATTGAAATTATAACACATACAGAGTGCCCCGTTGTTACTGCTGGTGGTAAGGTCAAAATAACGTCCGTAGGATACACAACATTATAGCCACCTCGAATAAAAGTAAAACTAATATGTCGATTCAAAAAATTACTTTTGCGCATGCGCATTCCAATTTTTTATTTCTTAGGACGTTTAAATCTTGAGTAAAATTAACCAATGCCGATTCAACTTCCATTAGAAATTTTCCTGGGCGTTTATGTATTATTTGCGGACGCTCTTTCAATACGTTTAAAAACCTACCTAATTTCACATCACGTATCGTTCGGTATACAATTGTATGAATTTTTTATAAGTAATCAGAAATATTGGTACCTACAGTTCACTGAAGCGGAACCTCGTTTAAAAAGAAATTTAAATAAATACAGCTCTCATGACAATAGGACAATAGGAGCCCAATCGCTATTTTGCATTGAAAATTCAAATTAGAAGTAGGCAACACACAATACACGTGTGACACGTGTTGCCTACACTACAATACTATATTATATATACTCGATGCCACGTATCTCAACAACCAATCAAAAATTAGACACTCTTTTGTCGCCACTGTATTTCGGTATACTTAAAAGCGACCTCTAATGAGCAGCATATGTTACCCATTAAATGCATACGGTTAGCAATGAAAAAAATGGCTGATAGAAGGTGTGGTGCAGTGGCGAGAGTGCCAAAAAATTCTGAGCTCGACCAAATTTGGTATATGTTAGCATATGTTACCCATTAAATGCATATGGTTAGCAATGAAAAAAATGGCTGATAGAAGGTGTGGTGCAGTGGCGAGAGTGCCAAAAAATTCTGAGCTCGACCAAATTTGGTATATGTTAGCATATGTTACCCATTAAATGCATATGGTTAGCAATGAAAAAAATGGCTGATAGAAGGTGTGGTGCAGTGGCGAGAGTGCCAAAAAATTCTGAGCTCGACCAAATTTGGTATATGTTAGCATATGTTACCCATTAAATGCATATGGTTAGCAATGAAAAAAATGGCTGATAGAAGGTGTGGTGCAGTGGCGAGAGTGCCAAAAAATTCTGAGCTCGACCAAATTTGGTATATGTTAGCATATGTTACCCATTAAATGCATACGGTTAGCAATGAAAAAAATGGCTGATAGAAGGTGTGGTGCAGTGGCGAGAGTGCCAAAAAATTCTGAGCTCGACCAAATTTGGTATTTGAGTTAGAATTAGATTGTTATCGTGCGACTTTAGTAGTGGAATTGGAAGTCAAACTTAACATTGGTTTTTCTTGCTATCAATATGGAGGGCTGTGATCTAAAACAGATTTTTTAGGTATACGGAAAAAGTTCAGATTTAACGTGTTTTTGTTAAATAATAAACAAGGGATGATGTGCGGTCGGCGACACTCGGGCGCCATCCTCGAGCGTGTTATACTAACGTGGTGATTTTTCCTGTCTGACTGTATAAAGACAGTGTGGCCATAATTTTTTTATTTTATTTACTTATTTATTGTCTCTCTCTTGTTATGGGCTCTCAACAGGCTTTCGCCTCATTACAGAGTGACCGGCATAATGCATTTTAATAATAATGCTCCATGGCGGCCATGTTTTTTCCAATTTATCATTGAGGTGCTTGGTTTAACCGAAATAGCAGATTTTGCTATGGTTACAATATTTCTATCACAATTCTGTCCAGTAAGATAGATTCATCACCTTGATTCCCAGGCAGATCTCCCAACTACCAAGATAATAAATAGAAAATAACACCACTGTATGACCACACTGTCACTATAGTTTATCTCGAAGAACTAATATTCAAATGAGCATAACTTTTGCTTAAAAAGTTCATTTAAAACTGACAGTCTTGTTCCTTAAATCATGTAAGTACAACCTCGATAATCCGAATACACGCTAGTCCGAAATCGCGATAGTTCGAAACAATTTCGTTCCTCGTAACAACGATGACACCCCTGAAGACGTTGAAAAGAATAAAGTTTATTTCTTAATGCTTGTGGCCAAATTTATTATTTTCACTAGTTTCGCGATAATCCGAAAATTTGATAATCCGAAAGGTCGGTGGTCCGAATCTATTCGGATTAACGAGGTTGTAGTATGTAGGTATCTACACAGTAAATTTCGGGGAATTCTTGCCATTTTCATCAATCGGGCGAGAATTATAGTGGCATTTTTCTGAGATTTTAGAAACTAGTTGGAGATTCGCGATTTTCATTTTCAAAAAACCTCAGATACCACATTTGGTCGAGATAAGAATTTCTTCGCACCCAGAGAATGCGCCACTTTGGGGTAAGAATTTTTTATAAAATCGGAAAGGGCATACCTAAAAACCTATTTAAGTATGTGCCGGCCGTCTTAGTACCTCTTATCGTTGCCGAGAAAAAAATTAAAGGAGCAATGCAAATTTTACCACTTTTTTTTTGTGTAGTTCCCAAACGCAACACGTTGGGCGCTTCTATCACTCAATTTCTTTTCTACATACTTATATCTTACACACTGTATATAATTTTACGTAGAAACCAAAAATAAAATAATATATAGGGTTTAACCGGAAATACCGTACTTTGATATTTCAGATGAATTTCTCGTATCGACTTCTCAAATTTTTAGCTGTTCCGATGTCTCCATTTCGTGATATAGACAGGGCCGGATTTACAGCTTGCGGGGTCCCCAAGGACGAGGTAGGGATGGGGCCCCTTACTTTAAGAGTAAACCATTTCACAACTTGCTCTACGTGACATTTTAACTGGGCCCCCATGGGTTGGGTGGGGGCCCACAAGCACATGCTTGTTCTGCTTGTACATAAATCCGGCCCTGGATATATAGATATTCGGCATTCGTCGTGGAACACTCTGTAAAGTTTATGGGCAATAATAGCACAGAAGTGTTTAAATCTGTGATAATAGGGTGGTGGCGCCACTTTTTAGTTTAATTTCACAAATATTTTCAAAATAGGAATTAAGTATTAACCCAGGTATTAACCACATCGGAATATTACACCTGATTCTTCATCCAGGATTTGACATTCGGAATATTTACCCTGGTTTTAATTCATAAGCTTAATACGAGTAGGTGTTGGATCGTTTCTGAAATTCTGTAACATTTTTCCGACTTCAGAAATAACATAAAAAGTGTTATAAGAGCATGTATGGTGTCCACGGCGTTCAATTGACGAATAAAAAATAGTCGCCCGAGCAGGGACTTGAACCCTGGACCCTTGGATTAAAAGTCCAATGCTCTACCGACTGAGCTACCCGGGCTATACAAACAGAAGTGCTAATAACAGTATATTTCTGTGCGAATTATAAACTACCTGCAATACAATATTAATTATTAACGTAGTAAATTGTTCAGCATACAATTAGGGCGTTAAATTACAAACGTAAGTTTCAATATTGCCCGAAGCGATTATAAAGCGAAAATGTAAATTGAAATTTAAATTAATTAAGAGTTAGCGCACTAATGGCAAAGGTGTGTCGGAAGTGCCATTTCGACGTCGGCCTTAACTAAATCATAATGTTAAAAAAACGTAATTTAATTTACATCGTCTTTTTTGTGGAACAGTTTCACAAATCCGTAGTTCTACAATTACCTTTGGCGGCGGTAATTTTGATAAATCGCGCAAATGGGAGACATTTTTGTATAGCCTTCGTTGCACTTTTTTGCTTGTAATGTGAATCATTATTTTTGTCCAGTTTATTGGGGCAGGGATTAAGGATAAAAAATGCGCTTTTTGTTGTTGATATTTTTTTAATTTAAAGTGGAGGTTTTCCACCGTGTTCCTCGCGATCGATCGTCTCTATTCACTTAAACACAAAGGTACAAATACGAATTGTACGTTGTTCCATTTCCACAGGCGTAGACAAATGGATATAATGGACCGTCACGATGATACTGACAGATATAGTATAGGGAGGAATTGTTATCCAGCGCTCCGTTTTTACCCCGATGGTGACAGTTCGGAATGAAAGTGCTACCAGCTCGGCCTCCTAGCGGTAAATCGCAAGACGCCGATCTCGCATTGTACGTGTAGCCATCTTCACATGCAACACTGTCGTGCTGCAAACCACCACTAGGTCCGTCACTTTGGGAACACCGATGAAAGATTTTAGTGTTAAACAGATCCGGAAACAGTCCAGCGGTTCTACATTCAAATTTGCTATCAGGATTTACCCCACCTCCTCCTGTGTCAAGGGATTGCACGGCGACAAACTGAAACAGGAACACTCATTGCGACTCGCCACTTACAAATGAACACTTACCAAAGATAAAACAACTATTTGTAACGTAGTCATTTCCTCTTGTTTTTTTTTTAAAGTGAGATACGGACTCTGTTTGCGCCATTTTTTATAAGATTTCCTTATCAGTGCATGGCGAGATCGTTCGCTTCAAATCGGAACGATAATTGATAGGAACGGTGAGCGATAGCTGTTAATTATGATATTAATTCAATGAAGCTGAAGTGCCTTTTAATCGAATATCGGATTATGACATCCTTAAGGAGATTGGTGCAAGGCGCAAGAGGAAAATTTCGGCTACAAAAGGTGTCTAATTAATTAAATCTGCAATATCAATTATGTGTCAGTTCTAATGTATTCTGAGTGAATTGAATAGGTACTCTGAATAGCTTTTTAAAATTTTACTTTGAAATATTATACAGGGTGTCCCACGACGAATGCCGGCTATCTGTATTTCGGAAAGGAACACTCGGGATATTTTGAAAATTTTACCGTATAATGACAGCACAGATAAAATACCCAATTTATCTGTGCTAATAGTAATAGCATTGTAGGTATTTATAAATACAATGGTAGTAGCAGAGATATACACATACAACAGATTGCTAACCTTATGCATTTTATGGGTAACACATTTAGGTATACTTAAAAGCGCCCTCTATTGAGCAGCAGTATAACCATGGGCCGTTTACAGCTGTAAAATGATGCTATGGATTTATGCATTAGATGTCGCTGGAAAAATGTATGTGCTAAAGTTTGCACAATTCGGATTCGGATATTATTAAGCGGCAGAGCAAAGTGATGCAAGCTTTATAGGGGAGTCGGTGGTGTCCGTCGGTCCGTGAACACGATAACTGTCAAACGCTTGGACCGATTTGGTTCAAACTTTGCACAGCTGACCTATATGCCACATGTAATAAGCCTATTGAAAATGGGTCAAATCCAATGACCCTGTGGGGTCACACCGAGGTGCTCTGCCGCTTTTTTAAACGCTCTTTATGGGTTTATTGGTATTATTACAGTGATATAATATGATACCTAGGAATTACTACCGATTACAAATAGCGATTAGCGAATGCCAAAAATAACGTATGAGGAATAAGAATTGTGGAAACTGTAGCGCTTTCGTATTTATATATCTATGGCTTTAAATTTTTTGCAGCGACATCTAATGTTTATATCCATAAGCGCCATTTTACAGTTGTATTAGTGTACATGTTTATACTGCTGCTCAATAGAGGTGATTTTAAGTATACTTAAATATAATATAATATACCGGCTTTATGGGTCAGTGGTAGAGCGTTGGGCTATAAATCCGGAGGTCGGGTTGAGGTGAATTTTTCATCTGTGGCGGAGATGGAAATTACCTTAGACCAGTTCCGAGAATTCTACCGGCTACTCCGAATTAGGTTTTCCTGCAGTTTTCCTAATTCGTAAGGTAAATACCGGAGTAGTATAGACCAATTTAAGACCTTCTGCAGAGGCATCTCTAAATAGCATTATGCGGGTCACTCTGTAATTGGGCGCAAGCCTGTTGAAGGCCCAGAACAAGAGAGGGATAATAATAATATAATATATAATATAACACAATATAATATATAATATAATATTAAATATAATATATAATATAATATATATAAATTCAATGTTAATAGCTATAAGAGGAATCTATTTAATAATAGAACCTTTCAGGTACCGTAGGACACGCTTAGCGGCCTCCTAATAATCGCCATAAAAACAATTGTTAAATTCTCCTAAATAACTGTGCAAACGAAATATCTGGCCGTGTCGTTGAGGTTAGATAACTCAGAGCTTCCACAAGCTCTCGGTAAGGAAATTTCCAATCTTCCTCAGTCTCTGTGTCATGTTTCATCAGCTTCAAGCCTGGATCCACGGGAGTAGAAACGGGATTAGAATGCCAAATTGCGAGAGGAAGTCGTGAACATAACCCGAGACAATATTTGATTTGATTCCTTGCTTTCAACATTGCTATCAATAACTTCTGTCATCTTCTTTTCGTTTCCTGACACGATCAAGATGTCGTCTACGTAGGTGGAGATTAGGAACATGGAAATGGGACCTAAATCCTTGATCCAGTCTGGTATACCAGCTTCTACTGGCTTGATTTAGCATGGGGCATAGCGGCAAATTTTTAGGGGCGGAAAAAACCAAATTTGGGAAATAATTCTACAGTGGAAAAAGAACATAACCTCATGTTACGCACACTCTTACCAACTTAAAAGTAATCATCATATATGGTATGAGTAACAACCTCACATTTCGACGAAATTATGTGAACTTTGTATTAAGATTGTGGAAATTTTAGGGTTTCTACCGCATATTTTGTTGTTGAAAAAATATCATTAAGGTGTCCTCTAGCAATTGTTATTTTATTTATTTATTTGATGAGCGTGCTTGTGGGGCCTAGTAACTGCACGTAACCGTTAGATTCTCTGAAACACGATTCAGTGACCTTTGATAGAATTTAATTAGCCCCAGTGCTCTGGAGCTCGTGCGTGTGATAGTCCTTCCCCAAATGCAGCTACATATACGACCCCAAGATTAGTTCATGCTACTCCGGGAACTTACCACCGACTCCCAACGGTTTTTCCGCTTTTAAAAATCGGATTAGCCAAATGAAGGTGTATGAACAGGAATAATATGCAATCTTTTCGGTCAAACGTGCCGCATGCTACCTTTCCACGTAAATTGACGAAATAGCAATCTGTTACATCCCGCCAAGCAGCATCAACCGAAGCATCAGCATCTCCTAATTATTTTCCTCAAACCAAACCAAACGGACGCCTCGATAAAGACCAGTTTCTCATCGGCATACAATTTTCGAAAGTACTCACTTACAAATCACGTCACGATCTTCCCATCCTTTTTTAACGAAGCAGTCCCGAAACCGAACGACACACACTGACCAAAATCTATACTATGAGCAAAAATCATACACGGACTTTACCTTCGCCACCTGTGGTGACAGTCACGGCACTTGCGACTTTAAGCGTACCGTGTCGCGTGTTCAAAATTTCATCGAAATACCGCGGTTCGTTGCATAAGTGAGTGGTCGCACCACTTTCCAGTAACCATTTTCTGACAGACAGACAGACAGACAGACATCATCCACGACCGTCGCGCTCTTTTTCTTATTTTTAGAACACACATTTGCTTTGTGTCCTGGCTTTTGACATTTCAAACAACGAATCGTTACCTTTTTGTCTTTTTGTTAGTCGTCGTCACTCGTAGCAACAATAACGACAGCAGATGGATGGATGGATCTCAATCTCAATGTCGTTCATCTTACCAAGCGAATCGAAAAAACTGTTGAGATGGACACGCCACGGTAATTTCGAATATTCAAGAAATTAGAAAATATAAAAAAATTTTAAAGTTCAGAAACATGATTAAAAATACTCCCAAAACTGCCTCTGCAGAAGGTCTTAAGTTGTTTTATACTACTCCGGTATTTACCTTACGAACTAGGAAAACTTAACTCTGAGTAGCCCATCTCAGTCACATAAAAAATCCTTACCTCGGCCCAGGTTCGAACACCCGACCGCCGGATTTATAGCCCAGCGCTCTACCATTGAACTACAAAGTCGTTTATCGTTGTTACACTTAACATGGTTTTCATTGGCCTTAAAATTTGGTTATCTGATGAAACGTTAAAATGTAATAATCTTATCAACCCATCCGTTTCTGATACAATTTCCAAACACCGCGCCGTTCCAATATATATTATTTTGCCAAGTTGAAGTAATATTGTTAGTCTGTGTCAGCGCAATTTTCAAACTATATTTTTCTGGTGAGTTCCATTTGGATAAATTATATTTGTACGATAGAATAATTTTTCGTATCAGGAAAATGTGCTCGTCATTGATTTATAAAGTTAAGAAAAATTCAATAAACTGACTCAAAAAGTCTTATCGCTGCCGTGATTTATCACAATTTAATCTATTTGCAACAAAGATATCGAAATTGCTTATCAGCGTCTTTGTCGTAAAGGAAAATTCGGCATCCAAATTATGTAGTGGATATAATTAAATTATCACTACGTCCCTTAAGCAGTCAAGCACTTGAATTCGGAAGTTTGATCTTTTGTGATTTATACACAGGTCACAAGCATTTTTATGGGTTTTCCAAGCGAACATGTCATTTTTTTATTTTATTTAAAGGTGCAGTTCATCAACCACTGGGTTATTAGTGCTATACCCTCCTTTGATCGTTGTCACTAATCGCAAAACGAGTGTAATACTTCGGAATTATGGTAAGAAGAAATAAAGTAAGAACAAGTTGCGTTCCACTACGTTTTGCAAGTGGTTTAAGCGCATTTTCTCGTGGAATGCATTGCGCAAGCGCGTAGATACTAGTACTAGTACAATAAAATATGCATAGACACGGTTTCGTAAACGAGATTTTATTGCGCAAAGAAAATTATTCGCAAAGATACAAATACTCATTATACGTTTTTCCATTTTCGCAAGCGTAGACGAACGGGTACAACGGTCCATTTGGATGATACTGGCAGATGTAGTACAGGGAGGGGTTTCGCTTTAACGCGCCGTTTTGTCCTTGATGTTTGCAGGCGGCGACGGAGGTGTCGCAAGTGTTGTTTCTTAGCGCTATGTCGCAAAAGGTGGTTCTGGCGTTGTACGCGTATCCGCGGGCGCATCTATTGCGGAAGTGCCTTAACGTGCTTTGACTCGAGCCGTCTTCATCGTTACGAGCGCAGTGGTGGTAGGTGTGGCAGTCGAATGGATCAGGGTAGATTCCGGAAGTTCGGCACATGAACGTACCGCTCGGTTGAAGTGGAGGTTCTGATGTTTCGGGTGATGCGGATTCTGTTGTAGCCGACGGAGTTTCTGCAGGGGATGGTGTTGTAGGTTCTATTTTAGGCCACCAAGTATCTTCGGTGCTTGTTTTCAATGTTATGATCGTTGAAGGTTCAGTGGTTGTTTCTGATCTGCTACTTAACAATCTTATACCGAAGAAAAACAACTCTACGTTTATTACAATTTGCATTATGTACTTTGAAGAGAGAAGAACAGTGATATTAAAACGTTATTTTCAGGAAAGTTTGTTATTATCTACTCTTTGAGTGGCATTATCT